TCCCCCACCATGGCGCGCCCCTCCCCCGCCCTGCGCAGCCTGGGGCCGGGCCCTGTCCTGGTGCTGGTCATTGTCACCTCGGCCACCCACGGTAAGGGGACACCCGGTGGGTGGGGCACGTGCGGGGGGCTCGCAGCACCCCAGAGGTGCCTTTGCTTGTGCAAGGGGCGTGCAAGGTCTGTGTGACACCCAGGGGCATGCAAGGGGTGTGCAAAGGGTGCGCAGGGATTGTGTAAGGTCACAGGATGCACGCAGGGGTGCACAGGGGCATGAAAGGGGTGTGTAAGGCTTTGTACAACACCCCAGGTGTGCAAGGGGTGTGTAAGGAACACGTCCCAGAGTAACGTCTGTGCAAGGGGTGTACAGTGAGTGTGCCAGGCTGAGCACAGGTTTTAGGGTGTCCCAGAACTGGGAAATGGCAAATCCAGGGAGACCCTGGGAATGGGAGATCCCAGATTTTGGGGGTCCTAAGCATTCACTGGGGGTCCTGTTCATCCAGGAGTCCCAGGTGTCAGGGATTGGGGGTCCCAAGTGTTCGGGATTTAGGTTCCCAAATGTCTGGATGTTGGGGATTTGGGGCTGGAGGCTGCAGAGCTGGGGGGTGCCCAGGGTCCCTGACTGGGGATTGGGGGCCCAGGAGCTCCCTGTGCCCCAAGGGCTGAGCAGGGCACACAGCTGGGGATGTAGGGACTCCAGCTGGGGTGCACTGACCTCATTTTGGGGTTCTGTGCCCCCCAGGGCTGATCCGGGGGGCTCTCCCGTTCGGGCTGGCACGCCGGGAGCTGGCGTGTGAGGGGTACCCGCTGGAGCTGCGCTGCCCTGGCAGCGACGTTGTCCTGGTGGCCGACGCCAACTACGGCCGGACCGATGACAAAATCTGCGATGCTGACCCCGGGCAGATGGCGAATGTGCAGTGCTACCTGCCCCAGGCACACCCCATCATGGCCCAGAGGTGACACGGGAACACTGGGGACACTGGGAAAGTGTAGGAGGTTGGGGACAGGCAGGTGACGAGGGACATGGCAATGGGCGCAGGGACATGGGGACAGGTAGGGGATTGGGGACAGAGGGATGGAGTGAGGACATAGTGGGGCACTGTGGACCTGACCCTTGCCCTGCACATGATGGTACAGAGGGGACATGGGGGGACACTGGGGACGTGTCTGGGACTTGGGGACATGTGGGTGACATGGGCAAGATCAGGGGACGTGGCCACATGGTGACGTGGGGAGGACCTGGGGACAGGCAGGACATGGGGACACAGCTGGAGGCATGGAGGGTGGCACAAGGGGGGACACGGGGACACTGAGGGTGTGGGACACATGGGGTGGGTGGTGCTGGGTACAGCATGGGGATGACACAGGGGTGGCACAGCTCAAGGACGTCCACATGTCCCCATGGCAGGCACTGTCCCCCCCCAAGGGGCATCAGTGGTGGCACCTGAGTTCTGTGTCCCCAAGTGCCAGGGCCACACCTGTGTGGTGCACACCTGTGCTCCCATGTCCCCCATGTCCCCTGTGTCCCTGGTCCCATGTCCTGTGTGTCCCCATTGTCCCGCTGTCCCTCCATGTCCCCAGCCCCATGTCCCTATGTTGCTGGTGTCCCCTTCTGTCCCCATATTTCCAGCTCCACATCCTGTGTCATGTCCCCATGTCCCCTCACTGTCCCCATGTCCCCTCTGGTCCCATGTCCCCCTGTGTCCCTGATCTTCCCCTGCTGTTCCCATGTCCCCTCATATCCCCTGTCCTCCTGTGTCCCTGCTGTCCCCGTGTGTCACCCAATGTCTCTGTGTCCCTATGTCCCCTGTGTTCCCTTGTGTCCCATGTCCCTTCAGGTCCCCTCACATCCCCCTGTGTCTGTGTCCCCTCCTGCCCCATGTCCCTCTGTATCCCCCCCATGTCCCCAAGCCTGTGTGACCTTGCTGTCCCTGTGCCCCTGTGTCCCCTGTGCCCCTCACGTGTTCCCGTGTCCCCCCATGTCCCTGCTGTGTCCACCCGTGTCCGTGACCTGTCTTTGTGTCCCTGATGTCACCCCATGTCCCCTGCTGTCCCCCACATCCCTGACGCATCCCTGATGTGTCTCTGAAGTGTCCCTGATGTATCCCCATACCCCCCCTGTCCCTGACACGTCCCCCCATGTCTGTGACATGTCCCTGATGTGTTCCCGTGTCCCCCAGGTGCAATAATCGCACTCAGTGCGTGGTGGTCGCCGGCTCTGATGCCTTCCCCGACCCCTGCCCGGGCACCTACAAATACCTGGAGGTGCAGTACGACTGCGTGCCCTACAGTGAGTGCTGCCCCACAGCCCCTGTCCTGCCCCACAGCCCTGCCCCACAGCACCCCAGAGCCACGACCCCCTGTCCCAGCACCTAGAAATACTTGGAGGTGCTGCACAACTGTGGGCCCTACAGTGGGTGACCCATAGATCCTGCCTCACAGCTCTGTCCCATAGCCCTGACCCACAGCTCTGCTCCATAACTCCCATTCTGTCCCACAGCTGTGCCCACAGCTCTGCCCTATAGACCTGCCCCACAGTGACACCCCCCAGCCCCACAGCACCCAGAGGTGCAAATGGGGAGTCCCACCAAACAGCACCCATGGAACCCCACAGGGACCACACAGTGCCCCCCATGTCCTGCCCCACAGCACCCAAGGGGGACCCCACGGGGACCCTGCAGTCCTCCAGGACCCCAAATTCTGGGGGCACCAAGGCACGTTTGGGAGGGAGTGGGATGGGATTGGGAGGGGGTCTCAGAGAGCCCCCAGGTGTCAGGGGGGATCTGTGCCCCCCGGAGTCCCCCTGTGTTGTGTTTGTCCCCCCTAGGCCAGGGTGTGACCCCGCTGTACCCAGTTCTGGACCCCCCCTGTGTCTGTCCCTCTGCGGGCGCTGTGATCCCCAACCCCCCTGGGCTGCCCCCGTTGGGGGGCTCTCTCTGACCTGGGGGTCCCGGGGGGGTTGGGGTGACCCCGTCTCTCCCCAGGCACCGTCGCGGGACCCCCCAAACCCCCCGGCCCCTCCCCCAGCTTTACTTTGCAGCCGCTGCCGGAGTCACCCAAGGGAATGGCCAGGACTGGGCCGGACAGGGCTGGACACGGCACTGGCCTCGGGACACGCCACGGGCACAGGAACACTTCAGGAACACATGAAAACCACACCAAACACATGGCCAAAAATATGGCCAAAACCATGCCCAAAACACACCAAAACCACAGAAAGAACACAGCAAAACCACACCTGGTGCCAGCTCATGGGGGCTGAGAGAGCCAAGCCCACACCTGTCCATGCTCAACACACATCTGGGGCAGGTAAACCCACCTGGAAACATTAAGGGCGTGTTAAAGTATACGATGAACACCTGAGCACGCGATGTGCACACTAAATGCATACCTGGCACGGGTTAAACACACCTAGGCATGCTCTGGACATGCCCAGCACACACCTGCACATGCCAAGGACACACCTGGCAGTGGTCAAAGACCCCTGAACATGCTGAGGGTGTGCCAAGGACACAATAAACACCTGGACACACCTGTGCATATTAAGCACATGCTAAGCACCTGAGAACCCTCTGAACATACTTGGGTGTGCAAAGGACAAGCTAAGTGCACACCCTGCATTTTCAACGCACACCTGGTGTACAGGAGGGCACAGGTTAAACTCACCTGGGCAGGCTCAGGACATGTCGCCAAGCACACACCTGTCCATGCTAAAGCCACACCTGGAGAGCAGTGTGGTGTGGGCTGAGCACACCAACCCACACCTGGCGTGTGAGCAAAGTGTGTCAGACACACCTGGACTTGTGCAGGACACACCTGGACACCCCTGAGACACACCAAACACACCCAGGGCACACTCCGGGGATGCTCAGGGCACACCAAGCACACGCAGCACCCCCAGCCCACGCGGGTCCCTGCCAGTGCCGTGGGGGGGTGGGGGAGGTTTTGGG